GAAATCAAACTAAGGAGAGAAAAAGCACTTTATTTTGTCTGGGCATTTTTATTTCTTATTCTTCCTATGTTGATCCCGCTGGCAAAGATTGTCTTTACTGACATTTTGAATACACAGTATTGTTCGTGTTGAATGTTCAAGAATCTGGAGTTCTGCTTAAATCATGAAATAAGAAAGAATCCAACGTGTCTTTCTTTATTTGCGTTCTCATTTATGTCTTTGGGGTACATTAAAGTTGCATGTTTGAGAGTGTCTTTATAACCATGAGAGGTAGATATGTGGGTTTTTTTTTGGTTTGTTTCCTCAGAAGCGCAGGAGCTGAGTCCTTATTAGCAAGTTTCACTAAGAAGCACTGGAAGACTCAGTAAATAAGTTATGACCTGAATTGTGTATTTATCCTTGCCTTTGTGACATGGGCTAGTAATTAATTTCACGTTGTTACTATCACTCAATGTATAATGATGTTTCCCACATTAGAGGATATTCGCTATTAACTTCTGATTTATGCTGGATTTAATGAAATAAGATACATATGTTGCAGAGTCCTGGACTACATATTTATAGGTATGTTTGATAGCTTTCTTTGCAGTATGCCTCATCATTTAGAGCAGTAAAATGGGAATTGGTTTTGAATAAACTGAAAATTAAGTAGATGTTCTAAAATATTAGCTGAGAGATCCCAAGAATGGTTCTATTTCAAACAGCTGGAAACAGGAAAAAGTTACGTTCTGATATCCAAACAGGCAAATAGTTAATAAAAATCAAATCCCTGAATTAGAACAGAAGTAGATTTTTTTTGTTCTTATTCTTATTTAATGTCTAATCAAAGAGTTGCCTTATGCTTCTGGGGTCCAGAAACAGAATGTTTAATGCCTTAAATCAAAGAATAGTTGTTCCAGAATTAATATTTGATATAATAACTTGAAATGTATCTTAGTCTTTATCTGCATTATTTTGATATTGCTTCTTTCTTTCTGTTGGAGCTGTTTTTTCCCCTTCCTTTTGTTTAACCCCTTAGCTTGGGTCAGTCATGTCTGGTAGTTCTTTCTGAGATGGAAGGACAGACTTAATCAGGCATGTATGGAGTAGGCAGCATACATCTTCATCTCTCTCTTCTGTGTTGATGTTTCATTCTTTGAGCAGAGTTGCCACATTTGGAACTGTCAGGAAATACAATATCCCTGTTCTACTTATTTTGTGGACTTCTACCTGATTTGTTAATGCATGGGATGCTTAAATTCAGTAGTGTCATTTTCAATGTGTTCATTGCTAATCAAGAAAATAAAAATAGAACCATCTTCAAAATTGGCTTGGTGCTGGGGTGAACCAGGAAATAAATGTCATGTATTTAAGAAGAGATTTTTTACCTCACAGCTGCTAGAGGAAGGGAGAAGATGACCATACTAGTTAGGAAAATATGTCCAAATTACATCATGCAACAGCTATCAACTGGATGTCACTGATCATTTCCACATTCTGAATAAGTTAAAGCCATCATAAAGTGTGGCAGCAATCTCCATTAATACAGCTTGTTGATATCTGCTTGTTGAAGTCTATTATTTAAAATCGTTCCTTTGGCTTTGTCAATGTTTACACGGACTAGCATCATTAATGTTGACTTAGGGTTATCTCTATGCTCCATAACTAGAATACAGAACATTTCTATCGATTTCTTAGCCACACTCCTCTACTTTACTATCACTAAATGAATTTTGATTCATAAAAGAAAATCCCTGGGAGTCAAATGTCAGCTATTATCCAATATATTGCTCTCTCCTGCTACTAAAATAGTCTGCATCTCATCTTGAAAATATAATGTATATAAGTCTTCTCTGAAAGAATTTCAATAAAATATTGATGTGAAGTACTTTTCTTATTTTGCATGATAAGATGTTTTGAAGACATAGATGAAGGCACAAAACAAAGCCTGGAGCCAGCCTGTATCATGTTTTATTTTTTGTATGCTTTGTCACTGAGAAATAATAGCCACAAAATGCTTTCTTTTTTCCTCTTGTTTAATAAGAAAATAGTCTGTGGTATTGTCTTGAGTATTCTGTCTTTGTTGATTTTGTTCTGGGAGTTATGATCAAGCCAAACAAAGCCTAATAGCAAATGAAACCAGTACTTGGACACATTCCTTTGAATATCATACTAGTTACTTCCAATTATATTCACATACCACATTTTAAATGGATGTGTTTCTACACTGTTTTTATCTCATAGATTTGTGGATAGTACCACATGTAGTTACAAAAATTTGTTTTGCTTAATGGCAAGTTTGTGATTGTGATTTTCCTTTCGGTGAATCCTCCCTATCTATGACCAGATTAGTAAAGGTACCTTGTAAGAAGGTGGTTGATGGAACCTAGAAACTTTGGACGCTGTAGGAATGAGAAAAATAGTGTTTCTCAGGGACAGACACTTGTGAACAGATGCCTTGGAATTGATGCATTTCTGGATCATGCCAAATTGCTTACAAAGTGCTGTAAAACCAGGACAATCAGAATTCTCTAGGGAAATGTAAGCTAGTACATCTGTACAATTGCACTAGAAGTGCATGCTCATTTTAGCGTCCCTCAGTGCGGTTACACCAAGTGAGGCTTGCCAACAGTAAAGAGAGGCTTCAGAGATATTAACCAGAGACCAGCAGTGACAAAAAATTTCTACCGAAGTCCTGGCATGTTCAGTTTTTTGTTTGTTTCAGCACATGCGGGAAAAACAAACAAACAAAAAAAGCCAACAAGCTTCAAGAGTGAATCACAGATTTGAGAGTTTTTGTTAAAGAGCTGATAGCTCTGTAGTTATAAGTGGGATGTAAGGATGAAATTCTCAAATGAGCATTTACTGCGGAAAGTGTTCTGTTTTTAATTTATTTTATTTTTTTTAAACAATGTATCCACAAGTGGCTGCAACTTTCTGAAACACGAGAATGATAGAGAAATCATGTTTAAATTCCTTTGCAGAAAGTAAAGGCAAAATGTACAGTTTTTATGGAAAGAAATGAAAAAAATGGTGATAACTAGCATTACAGTGAATATCAAGTGAATGTATAATAACAGAAAATTAGGAAACAATTGGACAAAGTGGCTAGACATTATTAATTCATGTACTATTCATCGTACCAATGCTTATCAGATAAAATAAGTGTGGCATTAGTTACGTTTTAATCATCCAGAGTGAGAGAACAACTAATTATTTTCAAATGGAGATGGGAAGAATCTAGGCTTATAAGAAATCATTGAACGTCTAATTCAAAATGCAATATTTTTGTAGGTAAATATGTTAATGCCTGTGTTAGAAGAACAATGGAAATGAAATAGTAATTGCCTGTATTTAAATTATCACAGAAAACAATAGACAGTCTGTTGTCATGAGATCTTACCTAAACTGCAAGGTGAGCAGGCTATTTAGCACGGACCAATTCCTCATCCATCCAGGTTAAGGATTTGGTCAAACTGAGCTTTATGTTTTTTTTCAGCCAACCTGATTAGAACTTTTCCATACCCAGGCAAATATACTGGGAAATGAGAGCACAAAGTGATCTTCCTCATAGACCTTGAGTGGCCGAAGTGAAGAAATCTGGGAAGGACTCACAAACTCCAAAGTTGAAGTTGGTGGGGGTGCCCCTGTTGTGGATAAAAATGAAGAATAAAGGGAGGAGGACTGGCTCTCTCTCCTGCCACAATTATCCTCTGCCTCTGAAAGCTTCTGAAGGCTTCCAGTCACTTCTAGAGAAAAAAAGTTTTGCATTTCTCCTTGGAAAGCCACATTTGATCTTGCACAGGCTTATACCTGAGAGAAAACTTGAAGTTCTGGCTACTCTTTTTTTTTTATGAGAAAGGTTTCCTTGATTGGGTTAAGGTTTAGATAAGGAACTCAAGGAATATAGAGTCTGGTGGAGCTATGGAAGCCAACATAAGCATACTTCACAATCTGGCTTCCCAACAGCAAACTTTTGTAAGCAACAGCTGTCCTGTTTTTGTTCTTTGTTCCCTCTTCAAATTTAAGAGTCTCCTAAATGCCTCTGACTGATGCAATGTATTTCCAGTTGCTTCTGTGTCACTGAGGTGCAGTTTTGTGAGCTTTTCTTCTTGATCTGGTGCCCTCATAGGTGGCATTTTTGCAGCCGTACTTTAAAATGGCTTGCATCTTTCTTCTGTATTTTGTCATACCTTGTACATTAAGAGACCTCTGGTCAGTTGTAATAATACAGTGAAAACAGAGAAAGACATTTGAAAGATTGGAGTCAGTACATTACCACTTAAGTCACTTCAGATTTAATTTCAGTTTAGATGAACAGTTTGGGGGAAATTTGTAAGAATGCGAGTTCAGGTGAGTGTGTAAACAAATGATATCGTGGCTCTGGGCTTTGCACGTTCTTTGGGTTAGTCTGTGTCATTGTAGGAGAATATAAAGATCAACTTGTAAAATGTGGTAACAGAATTATATTGGATTTGCTTTGGTATATTGCTTTCCTGTAACCTCTGGGTTTGGTTTATTTGTTATCCCATCACAAGAGTGACCTGTATTTCTTATGAGTGCATCAGTTAGTTTTAATTCACAGAAGGAGCATCATGCTCTTGCTTTAGTAATGGAGTCCAAATGGACGCTCTTTATTCTATTATCTTCCTTAGTTTTATGTAGTATTGATGAAATTGAAAATCAGTGACCTGACAAAAACAAAATAATATGGCATGAAAATTGCTACTATGATTTCATACTGTGTTAATGCAAGGATGTCATTCTCACTTCAGAATAATAACAGTGTTTTGCTTCTAAACTTATGGCACCTCTCCCTCCACCTCCTTTCGTTCTTTGGAAGAGAGAGAATGCTACAGGGAAATTCTCTATAATTGCCTCTCTTGACAGTTTGTAATGGAATAGCCACTATTAACTGTTAATTTTTTGGAGTATCTGTATTAAAAGGAAATGAAGAAATTCAGCGTGGATAGGATACGTACTACACTACTGTGGTTAAAAAAAAAAATAATCATCATCATAACATGGTTAAATGCAGAATTATGAATTTTCTTTTAATAATTTTTTCTTGGAAGCCAGGGCCATGCTGCCCAGAAACATTCTGAATCTGCCACAGGCATTGATGGCCCTGGAGTATCCAGAGATGGGATTCGCTCTCATCCTCCATCTACTGCTGCACCTAGAAAAGAATCACAAAACTTAAGCTGATTCCTCTTGTCCCACAAATGTCAGAAAAGATGTAAAGAAGGAAGCTAAATTCTGATTATGGTGCTCCCTGAGATTGCAGTGGTGTGATTTACATTCAGGCAACTTATTAATTACAGAGCCTTCCTTAATGACCTTTCCTAGATCACTGTTAATGGTAGAACCTACCAGATTTGTAGTAAAGACACATGCTTTTATTTCAAAGATAACAAAGTAATTGATTATTTTTTTTCCATATTGAAAGAATGTCTAGATCCCAGATGTATGCAAACTCTTGCCTTATGAAGACTGTTCAAGTAAGGAGGGAGGGAGTGCTGAGGTCCAGGTTTGAGGCTGGCATTAGCAACAGCTCTGTGTTCCTCTCCCCAGCTCTTTTTTCCCTTGTGGCTTATAGGAGAGGTGAGCTTGGCTGGTACATGCCCATCTCTACAATTTCTGGTGTAGGAGATGGGAAGGGATGGGAAGATGTGCCCTCTCCTTCCTGCTCTGCCTGACTTGCTCACCTCAAGATCACTCATTAAAAGTCAGTTTTTTAAAAAAGCAATAAATGCTTCCTTAGATTTAAGGAAGTGAGCTGAAGGGCTGCTGATGTGAAATTCTCCCACTGTATGCGCTTGCTTTATGGTTAAATAGTTCATTCGTATTACCTTAATTCAGACTTTCTTCTCGCGTACAGGGGTTATCTTTAACCTCGTGTATCTCTGTTATTTTAGTTAGGAAATAATTCATGATTCTGTGGAACTGGGAGAAAATACGTGTAAGCATGAGGTTTAATGTTTTGTATTCAACTTGAGGGTTTCAGTCACCATACTAAAGGACAACTTCAGCAATACTATCAGATTTTTAAATAGGGATTTAAAGCTCCCTTTCTGGTTAAGGTGGCAAATGTGCTGCAGGATTACCCAGCCAAGTACTGTTCTCTATGTTTTCAGAGGCTCCAAAGTGAGAGTGTTTCAGATGGAATGTGATACCTTTCTAGACAGGTGGGAGCACTGGCTTGAGTTCCCCTCATAAGAAATGATTCAAGCAGCCTAGAGGAGTGCTCTTACTGTGCTCAGTAGTTGTTTCGCATGGGGAAAATAGCAGTACCTCATCCTGTGGCTTGAGATAACTTGAGAAACAAGCACAGCCTCTCATTTTGAAAGAGGTGACATGGAGTTTCTGTGTGTTTCTTATTAGCTAGATTTAATGCTGTCTTGCCAAGCAGAGCAGCTCCATTCAACAGCTTGGCTGTCATGCTGTCATGTCCTCTTTTCAAAAGAAAATGATTTTGAAAATGTTGAACTTTTGACATGAATGTTGACAATTGTACTAGGACAGTTATAAAATATGTGACTAGTGGAAAAAGTATGGCTCCTCCCAAAGAAAATTTCTATTTGCTGAATGGATGCTTCATTTTCATTTGTTTGTTACCAACTATTTGAAACTCAATACTAGCTTCCAGCTGTCTTTCAGAGTTCAGGGAGGCATCTGTCCTTTGTGTTCTTCTGAAATGAGTTGTCTACTTTTAGTTTGTTTCTTAAACTGCTCTTGCTTGTTGCCACTTTTTTTCTTTTTTTCTTTTTCCTGATTCTAAGCAGTTAGAACACCCTTGTTTTGTCTTCATTCCCTCACCCCCAAGCCTTTCCTTCTTTGCAGCTGCTTGTGGGTTTTGCTGTGGGCTGCCTATGACAAGTTCCCTGCTGGTTTTACTTGATCACTTTGGAGAAATTTGGAGGTCCAGTATCAGCTGCAGTAGGAATTGATATCAACCACATCAACTGCTTGGAGTCTGGGTGCTCCATTCGTTCAGCCCAGCCAATTAGCCCATGCTTTTCATGGGATTCTCTGAGATGAGCTGGTACTAGCCAGACTTTGGGTAAACTGGATTACTTGTAGGAATGTGGATTTCATCATTTTTTTTGTTTTGTGGTTCTTGAATTTTTACATACACATTAAAGAGTATTATTAAGGTCTGGTAATTGAGTTTTTTGTATTTTCTATTATAACACAGAAGATTTTGCAACACAGGAGGTTGCGATAACTTAATGAAAGCATTCTAACAATTGCAGGAATTTCATGAATGATCCTGGTTGCAGTGTTTGTTTTTTTTTTTTCCCAAATGTAATGTTTTGTTTTTGCAAACATCAGTATTTTTCACTGTAGATAGAATATCTTCTGTGCATATGCTTTGCTCATAATTACTTCCAATGAAACAGATTTTTACTACAGATAGAAGCATGAGGTGAAAAAAAGAAATAGAGAGTTTAAAAGTTTTTTTTTAAGAGTTCAAATTTACCACAGAAATGAACCACAAAATATGCATAAGATGAGGATTAACAAAGACAGATAAAAGTCAAAAGATATGTTTTAATTATTCTACTTGCTAATATATTCAGTCACTATAGTTTTATTACAAGGGTGAGTAGGTAACAAGAACTATCCCTGCATTATAAGACAGTAAAACAATGATATTGAACTAACCAGTGTGAATGTAGTATGAAGACAGTATGAACAAAAAGGAAAGACAAGTATGGTGGTTCCAGGTATTATACTAGTATCTCTGGACTTGATTTTCTGTTGTTTTATTTTTCTTTCTGTTTATTTGAAAATATGTCTTTTTCAGGGATGTGGAGTCTTGAGTTTTTTAATATTTTCATGGAATTTGTAGGAGAGAATTCTTCAGTCATAATGAGAAGAAGAGAGAGACCATAGAGAGAGGCATGGTGAAGGTGGGGGGAGATGGAAAAAGGGTGCATGGGGAACACGAGGGATTGGAGTTGTGGGATGGTTGCCAAATGAAAAAATGGCAGAACTTCAAGAGCAGAATGGTTGCACGTTTACACCAGTGCTTTTGTTCTGTGGAATCTCTTTGTGTAGTTCCTCAAATGTTTTTGTTAACTAAATACAGCTTTGGGATGCTGGGAGGGAAACATCCTACAGGTCACATTCTTGGCAAGAAAATACAGGGTCTGGAGGTGGGAAGTAAAGGATTTTCCAGTGGTTTCCATTTTTTTTCTTTTTCTGTCAATGTATATTTGAGCAGAAATGAACCAGAGTATGGACTCTTGAACTTCTCTCTACATATCATCTAAATAGCAAGACATATCTGTACCTCTTCGGTTTCTGAAAAACAAACCCTAAGGCTAGGTACGGGTTTCAGACTCTGTGAGTAGATCATCTTACTGATGATTCCTGATAATCTTACTTCTTCATGATTTCCAGTTCTTGATAATTTTCCTCCACAATAGAGATGCAAAAATAACTTTTCTACTGTCAAATTAACTTCTCACAAAATTCTCACACAAAAATAAGTGAGGAGCACTGAAGTACTCAGAATGTTCAGCTGGTTCCAAAGAGAAGAATTGGTTGTGCTTCAATTTGTTCTACTTCTTTATAATTTATCTTTCTGTTTAAAAAGTAGAATAGGTTGCATTTAATGTTAAGCACTGGAATAGGCTCCCCAGGGAGGTGGTTGAGTCACCATCCCTGAATGTATTTAAAATCCATTTGGATGTGGTTCTCAGAGACATGATTTAGCAGAAGGTTGTTAGTTAAGATAGTATGGTTAGGTCGTGATTGGACTCAATGATCTTTAATGTCTTTTCCAACCTCAGTGATTCTATGATTCTAATGAACTCTACTGTGAATGGTCCAAATTTCAGATTTGGAGTACAAATTCAGATAAAAACGTGTATTTAAATGAGCTTAATTCATTTTTGAAACAGTACATCTTATAGTGTTTTGTTATTTGTCACTGGATCCCCTGAAATAGTCTGCAGCTCTTCTTGAAAGACATAGCAGTTGAACTGGAATATCTTGGTTTAATGCAGAAACTCTCAGAATTTAGGGAAATTGTATAGATTCGATATTAGGGTAGATGAACACCACTGTACTTTCTTGTCTTTTAATTATTGAAACTCTACAATGCAAAGACTTCTCAAGTCAGTCGTAACAATTAAATGAGGCCACTGGGTCACTAAATCAAGTGTTCCAGGAGAGAGCAGAGGCTGCCTCGAGCCTTGCTGGGGATTACTCAGCTGCAGAGAGGTGGAACACTTGTAGGTTTTATCATGCATGCACTATGTTGCTTGAAGGATGATATAGAGCGGTGTCTTTCACCCCTGGTGTTCCAAAAACCTTCCAGACATCCTTGTTCCATCAAGATCTGTGGCATATTGGTCCTATTTACCAGAGTATATGGTAATACTGTTCTTCCCCATGGTGTAAGTGTGAGCAGGGGCTTTGCCTTGCTGATGTTACTTCTCTTGCTTTCTTTTATTAAAAATGATGTATTCAGAGAAGTTTAATCCAGAAGCAGTCCATGTGCTCCCTAGATATGGGAATTACAGTTTTGGCCAGTTACTGATATGGGGTTTAAAGAGCAAGTAGAAATTTTTTTCTACTTTTGATCAGGGAGTATGTAGTAGTAATTCTTTGTAGGTTCAGACTGGTCACAGTAAATGGTGAGGAAGTAAATCTGCTATAGGGATTAATGTTTTGCTTTTGGTTGCAGAAAATAACCACATTTCCACCACTTTGTTACATTACCTCTTAATTGTTGTCTGATTATGAATTAAGAAGTTAGATGAAATTATAAAAAGCAACATATAATAGATAGCAGTATGAATTAGCATAGTGCAAAGTGCTTAACTCAGCAGGTGTTTGTTAATGTATACATCTGCTTTGTTGTTACTGGAATAAATGTGTAGTGATACAGTGCTTTGTGAAGCACATATTAATACTTACTTTTATGAAAATAAAAATACAAGATATTTTGCTCTGATTTATTTCATTTTAGGAATTAGAGAAATTAAGCTTCCTTCTCTTTTAATTATATCTTGCAGAGAAACTGTAATCTCTTAATCACTGTAAAGCTTCTCTTTTTTTCATTTACCCATTGGCACTCTCTGCCATGGAATCTACATAGCCTACTATAGGAGCTGGACTCTGTGGCTAAAAAAGAAAGGCCAAATTTTTCCTGCATATGTGCTGCTTGATTTGACTTGAGGGCAGGATATCTGCACTTGGGCTGCACAATAAATTGATTTGTCAGTTCAGTGACCGACTAAAAAATAAATGAAAATGTTCCAGTTGACAAGAAACAGATCTCTTCCCTCCTTCCTCTTTTTTTTTTTTTTTCCCAGCTAATCAAAGCTACATGCTTTGTTCGACCAAAGCTGCATTTACAGACATTTCAGATAAAAGCAAAAGCTAAATTTGCGAGGCTAGAGCTGCAATCACAGAACAGGTGCTGCAGCGTTCTTCTGTGTGTTGGATCAGGACCAGCACCAATCTTTAGCAGTTTTAAGATGTGCTTTCCCCCTCACCCCCCCTAACTTGGAAGAAAATGTCCTAACTGTGGAACTATATGCTATTGCAGAATGTCATACTTCTCTGGTGGAACAGCTCTGCTATGTATATAATGCTTAAGCATCTATTTTGGTCAGCAATACAAAAAGTAACTCTGTAGCCTGCTGCTTAGAACACTCTCTGGGGATGCCCAGGTTCCTGCATTAATGAATGTTTAAGTACCTAACAGAAAAAAGAAAAAAAAAAAAAAAAGAGACTGAGTGGGCCCCAGCCCACAACACTTTATTATTTGGTGTGTAAGGTATTTTCCTAAATGCTCATTTTAATTCAGAGGGAGATTAGTTTTGAGTCTAAGCCTCTTACAACCCACTGTAATTGCTGGGTTGTAAGGGGAGAAAGCTTCTTTTCATGTGAAATATTCTGAAACTAAGAACTGCGGACATATTATAGGAAATAAAGAAATAGCAACTTTGAAATCAGTAAATAATCACTAGCATGGTTTAGACTTTATTTCTATTTCACTATTTGATTGAAGTTATGAATTCAGTGGGACTGCTCCAAGATTGCTTTTTCAATGAGCTATTTACCTTCGAAACACTTAATCCAAACCTAGCAGAGAGGTTTTACCCTTTATTCCAGAATATAATATTCAAAGACATATCTAGAGTCAAGCAGGAAAGTTCTCACCAGGCTGAAGTGAGAGCATCTCTTTCTGAGGGTGAAGATGTAGGCATCGTTCCTGTCATATTTCACCTTCTGTCTGTGCATCCTACAGTGGGGAGCATGCTGCAGTTAGAATCCTTGCATAAGGAACATCAAAACCTGGCAAAAAAAGAAAAGGGTCAGAGCCCGAACAAGTGGATGGTTGACATTTCAGATAGAAATCTGCTCAAGCATTAAGGCAACTGAGAGGAAATGGTCTGAGCTCAGGAAAATATCACGTTGTATGACCCAGCCATCCCTGTTAGGAATGAAGCATTCTTGGTTTTGGTGTTGAGAGAACTGTCATACTTTTTTATTCTATATCTCTCTGTCTCAGATTTTTTTTGTGATCTGTGGCATGCCACGTGAAGCATTTTAAGAGAGAGTCTAATAGTATCTGTTAATCAGGCTATGCATGCAAATAAGATTGCTGTATGACCAGAAATGTAAGTTTTGTGAAGGCTTGTCTTGATTTTCTTTTTCTTGGGTTTAGCAAAATAAGTATACTTTCCAGTCCAGGGAATAACTGTACTTGAAATCTGTGTTGAAAGCTATTTTGGTCACAAAAATGACATTATTCTACATTATTGTAAGTTTAGTTCGGCACAATTTTTAATTTGTAGAATTCTTTTTGGCACTTTTGTGCTCAAAGGCAGTTTTTGCTTCTAGATATGGTTAGTTGACACGTTTCTTAAATAGTCTAGATAAAATTATGGAAATTATCTCCTGAAAACATTCCTGAAACTAAACTTGGCAACTAAAGATAATGGTATGTCTGATCATACAAAAAACTTCTGTATTTTATCCTTTCCTTTTGTGAGATAAGTCAGCTCAGTATTTTAGCCATCAAGTAGTCTGATGTAGTGTGATGACATCAAGGGAGAAACTGCTATGATTTCAGTAAGCATTGGGTCAGGTATGAGGTGGGTATTTATCATGCTGGATGTTAGGATTGCCTAAAAAATTGAGGGAGAGGTTCTCAAACAGAAAGGCTTGGCACTTCATCAGCTGAAGAAGGAATTCAAGGTAAAATTTCTTTCATTTGATTCTTTGTTAAAGGGCGCTGGGATGTTTTTATCACCTTCCTGTGTTGTTTTCACTTTGAGTGCAGTATTCAGTGCAACCTATGCTTTGGAGAATAAATGCTGAGAAGTGCTTAATCTCAATGCTAGAAATGTCATCATTTTGAAATTAAAACGTTAAATTCTTAAAACTAAAATCAGATTAAATTTTAAGTAGCTTCTTAACAGTGCTTCTTAATATAGCCTTTTCTTGTGATGTGGGCAGTTTTCCATTCTGTAATGTCCATTTAAAATCTGTGGTCAAGTTCTAGGGCAATTTTCTGCCTTTTCACATGGGTGGCCTCACATGTGAACCCACAAGACACTTGCTTTTACTATAGAAATGTCATAATAACAATTCCACATAGTTCTTTGGTTATATTCTTTACAAAGTTTTGTGAGCAAAGCATGTCCTCGAAAGGCATGGGTGTAAAGAAAAGTGTAACTGAACATTTAGCTCCTTGTGGCAGCACTGGTCACGCAGTGACCAGTGTTGTCTGGTGTTGAGCAGTGCAATGGTTTTGAGGACTATATATATATGTAGTATATATTATATATTATATATACACACATACACTATATAGTGTAATTATTACACTTATATACACTATATAGTGTAATTATGTATAGCTACAGGACTATAAGACAGTTTAAGAGTTTAAGGACTTCTTTTGAGTCAGGTTGCCTAAATGTTCCCCAGCCCCTTTTCCTCCCACATAAAAGGCTCAGGGGTAAAGAAGCTTAGCAATTTATAGCAGAACAACACTTTTGTGACTGAAACCAGTACAGAACTTTGTGGGTTAAATTTTTGTAACTGTCTGAGCAGGAAAGTAGAAGAAAGTTTGTTTACTAGTAGATATTATTAAAGCATACTGTCTATTCCAGTCATGCAAAATATCAGTGATTTCATAATAACCCTATAAGTAAGGTTATCTAAAAATGACCTGAAGTGATCAAATGCACATTACTCCTTCCAATTTTGTCTATAATTTTCAAGAAATGTACTTTATTCTGCTCAATATATCTTGTTCCATACATGGTAGGTCTTTTTTTGGTCTGTGTGTGTGTAGCTATTTGCAAATGCTCAGTAGGCAAGGTAAGACTTCTAAAGGTTTAACCTCAGTTTAAAGCAGATCCTGAGACATGCTGTGGTGTTAGTACAGAATAATACAGGGAAGGATATTCCAGAAAAGATAGTGTAATATGTCCAAGGAAGGCTTTGCTGTTGAGCGTGTTTATCCCATAGAGCACAGGTCAATAGGAATGACAGGTGAGATTTAATCATGTAGGTGAAGCAGGGGAGGATGGAGCGCTCATGAGCAGCTTGGTCTGAGCCAAGAGCCGGACGACAGCAACAAAAAGGCCAGGAAGCCTGGCTTGGAGCTGGCTTGCAGCAAGGCCTCAGTTTTCAGGCTGACAGAAGCCAGGCAGTGAGCCAGAGATCTCTTTTGGGCTGCAGGACCCAGGAGTGAGGCAGGGTAGCATAGGGTAAGATTGAGGTCAGTTGTGCATATAGTCAGTGGACAACATGATCAGCCCTTTTGTGGACCAAACACAGCATAGACGTATTCCACAATAAAGATTTGTGCCAAAATTAGGCACTTGCCTATAGTACTCACCAGCTTTAATAAAAAAAAATAAAAATGAAAGAGAAAGAAAGAAAGAAAACATACTTTCTGTATAATGTTGAAGTGCTGTATCAAAGTCTATAAATTAGGCACAACTTTAAATTCACATGCAATTTCAGTTATAGCCATCTGTCTCTACTTGGGAAGAATGATATGAGATCAACAGCTAAACGTTTTACAACCATAAAGATTCAGTGGTGTTTTATAAGCTATATGCATGTGTGATTTGTAAGAAGCTTATTTACATGTAAAATTTCCCATTTGAACATTCATTCCTTTTGTCATGCAAGCACTAAGGTTTTTTGTTGTTGTTGTTTTAAACTCAAGGCTTTGAAGTGGAATGAATACACTTATTTCAGCCTAATGTTATTGCTTTTTTTTCTTCATTTTTTTCATTTTAATGATCTAGTATTTCTTACATCATGAAGAAAAATATCTGTATACCTTCAACTTTCTAATGCCTAGACAGTAAAGGAAACTGCTGGCACAGATTTTCTTCTGGACAGGTGTATGGAAGATTTCTAAGCCATTTGACAAAGATTTAAAAATATATATATATAACCTTAGTAGAATTTTTTTGGGGGGAAGACTCAAGGTAGAAGATTTAAAACATCTTTGAGCTGTCTATAGTAATTTATTTGAGAGTGGCTTTTACTTTCTTGCACAAAATACTGTCCACAGAGCCCGTTATTGCTTAGCTGTGAATGTCTTGGTGTGACCTTGGTGATGATTATGTCCAAGATGTGACATACGTCAATTTTCAAATTATTTAAGCGAAGCTGATGACTTCATTGGAAAGTCTGTTGCTACGCAAAATCATGTGGAAATGCATTCTACATTCATACTTAATGTATGTTATCATGTATTCACCTTTCTGGAGCCTGAAGTTTTTTTTTAATTCCTCAAAATGGAAAGATGAACAAAGACTTAAGCCTTTCCAGCAATAAATTGAACAAGAGAAATATTGCATGGGCTGGTTCCAGTTCACTCTGTCTCTTGCTTGACGGTGTATTTGATCATATGTCATGGGAGAGGATGCTTTTATGCTAGAGACCACACTACAAATTAAGTCCCTGGAAGATTTTTCTTGGTATATGCTAGGTTCTGGAAAAATCACTGAAAAAGACAGAGTTGCACATTAAACCTCTGTAAATAAGCATGCTCTTCTTTTCTACTCTAGATTAATAGAAGTTGAATATGATTTGTACTTGCAGGTTGGTGTTCTTCACTGGCAATTGCTTTGCAAAATGTAAGGCATTGCTCTCTCTGCTGCTATCCCTCCTATTTTCACAGAACATTCAAAGAATTAACTGTCATCACATGCTTATGAAGAAGATGATAGAAAGAAACAGAATGTAAATGAAATAGAAGGATTTCAACTAATCTTAGATGGCTACATTTTAAATGGCTGGATGTCACTCATTCTTGAAATTTCCCTAGGCTGAAGGGAATTGTTCTGTGAAATCCCTTTTTTTCTCTCTGCCACCTGATGCAGATTCACATGACAATGTGGTAGTCATCCAAAGTTAGTGAGATTAGTCTTGCCCAAAGTTAAATTGAGCAAGTGCTCTTTTTGCAGAGGTTAACAGGATTGGTGCCTTTACTACTACCTGGAGCAGTGTAGCAGTAGAACCCTGTGAAGAACCAGTGGGCATGGAAAAAAAAAACACGAAGGAAAATGTGAAGACATTAATAGGGGTGAAGTTCACACTGAGTAATACATAAAAGTTGCATAAAAGCCTGTGTTTCAATAAGAAGATGATTAGCTTTCTTAAATAGAACCTGGCAAAGTTATAATGATGCTTGATCAGAAGAATCACAGTGTCAGATGAGAGTTCATTATTCAATGAGCACTCTGTTCAATTTAGCCAGTAGGCATTGTATGTCTCAAGGAAATAGCCAAAAATCTGATCATCACTGAGGCGGCATTAACAAATAAGCAAGGAAGTGTGAGGAAGCATGCCAAGCCAAAACATGACTTTAATGAATGGTTACCTGGGTTTTTACATTTTAGTGTTCATAAGTGGAAGAAATAGCTTATCTGTTTCTTAGGGAAAAAAAGGATGCAAATTGAGAAACTATTCTATAATAATCTGTAATAAAAAATAAGATAGGGTTTATCACATGAATGAGCATCTTACCAGTAGAGCTTCTAAACTATAATTAAATAGCTTAATTGCTTAATTTAAAAAAAAAAAAACCAACAGAGACTTAAAAATTTGTACAGTGCCTTAAGCACAAAACAGACAAAATACATAATTCTAAGAGTGGACTGAGATGGATGACAGCTGCTTTCATTTTGTGCTTCATTTTAATTTCATGTCTCTGTAAGTTAAATGTAGATGGGCAACATATTTTTGAATGGAAATGACCACAAAAGGATTTGAGAGCTTCCATGCCTTTGAGGCAGCCAAATTCTGGGGTTTCATTTATCTGGGAATTAGAATTTTGTTGCATGTATCTGCTTCAAATAAGTGTGAGTTGACATGAAAGAAAGTTGTGCCTTATGCTTTGTTCTGGGTCAACTTGTTGGGCTTTACTGTTGCTAGTGCACTGAGCAGTGCCACTGCATATTCACTAACCCCAAGGGTAGGGTCTTGTACCTTGGTCATGGCAACCCCTGCTATCAATATAAGCTGGCCTTGCTAGAAAGGACTTGGGAGGTACTGGTTGATGGTAAGCTGTACATGAACTAGCAAAGTCCCCTCACTGCTCAGAAAGCCAACTGTGCTGCATCAAAAGAAGCGTGGCCAGCAGGTCGAGGGTGGTCTACTCTGCGCTGGTGAGACCTCACCTGGAGTAACACATCCAGATGTGGAATCCCCAGTGGAGAGACAGAGACCTGCTGGAGTGGGTCTAGAGGAGGGCCACAAGATCTGAAGGATGGAACACCTCCCCTTTGAGAACAGGCTGAAAGAGCTGGGGTCGTTCAGCCTGTAGAAGAGAAGGTTTCAAGGTGACCTTGTAGCAGCCCTTCAGTATCTAAATGGGGGCTATGAGAAAGAAGACAAGAGACTCGTTAACAGTATCTGTTGTGATAGGACAAAGAGAAATGGTTTCAAACTATAATAGGGGAGATTTAGATTAGATATAAATCTTTGTTTTATTGTGAGGGTAGTGAAGCCCTGGAACAGGCTGCCTAGAGATGTGGTAGATGCCCCATTCCTGGAGACAATCAAGGTCAGGCTGGATGGGGCTCCAGTTAACCTAATCAAGCTGTAGGTGCCCCTATTCATTGCAGGGGAGTTGAACTAGATGGTCTTTAAAGGTTACTTCCAGCTCAAACTGTGGCCTTGATTGAATGTGCTACTATTATGAAATGGCAGAAAATGTTTTTACTCATGTCAGTGTTTCTTAATCACAGTTGTTTTCTTTGTTTTTTAATTATCAATTGTGGTAATTAATGACAAGTCTAAAGATGATGTTTAATAATAAGGGGAGTATTTACTAAGTTTGTGACTGCTGGAAATGGTGATAGTCCATGAAAAGGATCACTCTGACCTTGCTTTGTCTCCACTGTACCCCAGGCATCATCTGCTGGTGGCTGCTGGAGGTAGGAGTTAGCCATATTGGTCCATCCAGAATGACAGCTTATTTCTGTGCCCCATATCATACACGTGGAGATCATGAAGGGAATGGGCAATGCTGTGGCAGCATTCTATTCTCTTCCTTTATCACGGCTTGTCAGCAGCCCTGGGATGGTATTAGTACTGAGGAAGCAACGGAAGCGTTGCAGAAGCACTGGAGGGGAAGTTATATCTCTGGAGCATTTGTTTGCCTCATTATGTTAATTCCTCCATTATCTCTAGGGTAGGGCATCATCTTGAGCCAGGTGAATTTAGATAAGTCCTACATTCAGCTCTTAATTTGTTTGTTCTTAGTTCCTCAGTCTGTAAAATTGAGATGATGTTGATAGAAATAATAATGGCAAGCACACCATCTGTGAGATTCGCGGCTTGTGTTGCAATGAAGGCCATTAAATGAGATAGAAGATTTCTCCATAGCACAGGTTTCTGAATACTGTGCCACAATATGTAATCAGGTAATCAGTCTTACAGCCTAACATTTTTTGAACTCAGACATGCAAAGTGTCGAACTGCAGATTCATACTTGGAAACAAAGTGAGGGCAGCTTAATGATGCTACTGACAAGGAGACTTCGTTATTCATGCATACATCATTGTAAATTAAGTTTGGCACCTCTGTGGTTCTGGCCACCAGTTTTTATTTAGGAACATACGAAATGTCTGAAGGCAGTAACCACAATGCCTCCATTTCCTTGGTTATTGAGTAAAAATAATATTCATTTTTCAGAATGTTGAAATTGTTCAACTTGCTTTGAGATTTGTAGAACAAAGGCACCATGGAAGCACAGAGTATTTCTGTGTTCATGTGGTTTCAGAGTAAATAGTCTGTAAATGGTGTACAGATAGTTAAAAGAATAATGGAGTTCATATGCAATTTCTGTAGACAACTGCCATTATCCCATGAGGCAAAAGTATTTCCAAATTATTAAACTAACTACAGATATTAAAACAAATATCAGTCTTCATTCCCTTTGTTGCCTTTTTTCATCCTTTGAAGGCTTTTTTTTTTTTTAATGGACACCTATAAAAACTTTTAATTTGAATAATTTAGAACTTTGTATTTAATTTTATTATATTTCTTTTCATGTTTCTGCAGTGTTGTCTTTGGGCTTTTAATTGATTTTTTTGTTGTTGTTGTCAAACACTTTGAAACTTCAGAAACGAACTGCATGAAAAGAATACCTAATGACATAGTTGTAGGAAAAAAAACAACCAGCAATATTTTATTAAAGAGACTCTTTCACAGAACTAAATTCTGTGATTTTTAGTATTTTCTGAGCAATTACAATAGAATTAGTACCAGGTTCTTATGAAAGTAATGTATCTGTATCTATAGAGCAGGCATGGAAAATGCTGCAAATACATGCCTTTGATCTAAATGACAGAAATAAATTTGCTAGGGACACGGTAGCATTAAGCGTATTTAAACTGACCCATATTGCTTGAAGTGCAGGTAGAGTGTTCCCCCTTTTGATCAGGCCGTTTGATTTAAAGTATAAATGAATTTAAGTTATGTGCATAATATATATAATATAATTTGGCAAGTTAACTCTTACAGATGTAGGTTAATATTTTATTTGCATATATCCCCCAGTTTTTTTCCTGCTCTTCGGTTGAATTTATCACAAGCCTGCAGGCATGCCTTGCTGCTCAGAGTGGGCAGGAACAATTAAGATTTCAGTCAGAACTCCAGTGAACACTTTCACTCTGGCTGCATTTGCTAAGCTTTGTGGTAGCTGCGTTGATAAGGCAGAGAGAAGTTCAAGTGTGAGAAATCTGAAGTGAAGATGCAAATCTCACGCTTAGCTGGTATTTTGTTATCTAAGAGTACACTGATCCTGAGTGGCATCACAGTAGTTTTGGGTTAGAGAGTGTTTCTGTTTCTTCTTTTGTGAAAGTATATGAATGCCTTTGACAGAATTACTACTTCTTTATCATTACTGAGAACTCAAACAAATTTGTTAATGTTGTGATTAGAATTACCATTTCATAAGGTTTTAAATGTATTTTTAGAAAATGTTCATTAAAATTCAGAGCTTTTCCAAAAAAAAAAAATAGATTTGCATCTCACATTGTCAGACACTCTTTTGTCACTGTTCACAGATTTGGAGAGTTAAGATGAGGGTTCTAGTTTGAAACAGTCATAAATGCCCTCAATCATTATCATTAAATAAATAAAATGTGTGCGCATATATATGCATATAAAAGCAAACTTGCATTTATTTTCTCTGTACATATCATCTAGGGGCTTTAGGATTCTAAAGTAAATGACATTTAAAGATAATGGAAATATGCATTCAGGTGTTTTAGTTATTTCTCAAGCTAGTGTAATTAGTTTTTGAGCAGGAGCTGCTGTGTTTAATGCAATGTTTGCTCCTCCTTATGAAAGTGAATGAGTCAGCCATCCAGATTTATGCAGAGCTATAATATTATAAACTTCTTGAAGAAATCACTGTAAGCATAAAGAGAAGCATGTTACACTTTTATAAGAAATATATTATTGTGTATTAGGTTACTTGCACATAACATCCACGATATGTTTGTTCTAACTTCAGGCTTTACCTACAGAATAAGGCTCTATTTCTTAAGATGTTCCCCACATGTACTTTTTCAGCTGAAACATGAATTTCAAATGTAGCAAACTTGTATATTCTGTCACTGGTGCACTAGAATGCAGGCGTACAGTCTCATTTCATGCATTTTGAAGAGGCAGACTAATTCTGAACAGTACAGACTGAAACCTGATGTGTTTGGAGGTTCCTCCCTCACTTCAAATGTTCATGGATCTCTTCTGAGCTTCTCCTTTGCTTGGGATGCACAGCATGTCACACTCTCCCTCTAACACAGCAAGGTCCTTGAGCTTCCCACTTCACTGTTAGGTCATAGAATCATAGAATTTGTTGTGCTGTAAGGGACACTTAAAGGCCATCTAGTCCAACTCCCCTGCAATGAACCAGGACACCTAGAGCTAGATAAGGCTGCTCAGAGCCTGGTCTAGCCTGACCTTGAATGTCTTCAGGGATAGGGCTTCCACCACCTTTCTGGGCAACCTGTTCCAGTGCCTTTCCACCCTTGCTTGTAAGGTCACAGTATTTGCTCCTAGGTTCAAGCGCCAACCTGCATTGAGAAGTTTACCTTTTCAGACTTTTTAGGAAGCCTGCAGAGACTGGGATTCTCCTCCAGAAAGCAGAGCCAGACCAACCTTAGGCTTAAACTGAAGTGACTGAGTGGAACTGTGCTCAGAAAATTGTTCTTCCAGCAATTCTAGTGCCCGGCAGACTGTTGCTTTTCTCCAGCTTTTACGATCCTCTTGCTTATGTGCATGTGGTATTGTGTTTATGTGCAGCGTTAAGTTCGGAAAGCTGCCATATTACATTTTGCACAAACACCCGAGGCTAGGAGGCAGTGAAATGTTAGCCTTTAAAAGGGTCAGAGTATAGCCTGTATGGGAACGATAATAAGGACACTTGCTAGCCTAACAAACCTATGGCATTGCATCTACAGGGATGACTTTGCAGCTGTGTCAACATAAGTTTGTTGTGAGAATATTTGGAATGATTTTTGGTTAGTGATATGCAGTCCCCAGGGAAATAAAGAACTAATAATAGAGATACAAAACTTGAACAAAGCGCTCCCTATATTGCCGAGAGAGTTACCAGAGTGATGAAGAGACTCTTCTATGAGACTTGATTTGTAATTATGGATCATAAGATACTGTCTGTCCTCAATTCTTGAATAAATAATTCATGAGTAGAGCTTAAGTAAGTTTTTAACCAATAAAAACTGCACTGAGATTGAAATTTAGGGGATTATCAGCACAATGAATTTGATGAATAGTTATCGCTTTTCAGCCTTTTCTTTTATAATGGGAGAAGCAGGAAGTAGTTCATATAACCTAGAAGGAAAAGTAGTGGTATTTCCACCTAAGAGCTTTTATGGAAAGGCACAGTTAAATACAAAGATTAATGTGAGCGAAACTTAAGTGCGGTTTAATTTAATAGACATAGTAATCTGAAACCAAATAATGGTTAAACTGAAATAACTTGCTTAAAGTTGCTGTTCTGTTTAAACCAAACATTCTTTCTGTTCTCTGCTCGTGGAGATGTGTACAATAAAAGCAAGACAAGAAAGCAGAGCTCCTAAGCACGCAAGGTCTTTGAAAGTTTGAGGCAAAATTTATGGTGCTTTTTTATTAAGAGGTATATGGTTAATGCTTTTCCAGTCTGAAAGAATGTTCATTCTGGTTTTATCGGTTTTTACTCCACGGTGATATTGACCTTAGTTCTTGCTCTGAGTTTGTACATGACATGCATGCAACAGAGAGAGAAAATTCTAACCATAAATGTGCTTAGTCCTTGTTTGCTTTTTTTTTTTTTTTTAAGCAAAAGTGATACAAAGTGTATGGCTTGTTTGAAAAAGTTTTGGTTGTGAGATTAATTACAAAATATCAGCTGCAGAGTTAATGATAATTTCCTTAATGACCAGCAAAGCGTTTACATTTGTCTAGGAAGGGAAATGCAAATAGAGAAGCAAATGAACCTTTCAAAAGGTTTGGAAAAAGCTTTCAAAAAGTTTGTTGAAAGTCATGAACATAAGTGATTTGGGTTTTCTTTTCTTAATATTTTCTGAGAAGCATTGAATGTAGAAAAAGGTTCATTTCGTATGCTAAAATACTGCAAATATTAATCAGACTGATTCAAAATGAAGTCATTAAAATTGGGCATTATAATCTCTATTAAATCAATAAGGCACTTTCCTAACAGAACTTGAAAATGCAAATCACATTCAAAGATGTTTTTGTAAGAAGTAAAATCAAACAACAACAAAAAAGGGGAAAATCGGAGGCAGAGTCTGAGGGTCTGGCTGTATTTAAGATTGAATATACCCTAACAGCCTTTGGAAGTCTTCTGAAAAAGCTTTAGATGTCAAATCAGAAACACCTGAAGGCCTCCTATTATCAAAATGTAACCTCTGTAGTCTGTGAACTTGGCAGAAGCAAGATGACTGGTCTCCGATGACATGGGGCTGATGGATTTTGCTGGCAGCCAGTGACTGGTGAGACGTGACTCGATAATGAGCTGTTTTATAAGCTCCTTTGCCTATTTAAGGGCCTAAAATGGATTTTGGATCATAGGCAGAGATTCAGGGCCAGGCATCCAAAGATGGATTCCCTGCTATTTTTAAGAACTCTTCAGACTGTGACTGTGGACTGTATTTATGCACTTTTTTGCTTAAGTGGTAAAAACTTATCTTTAGTGAACAAGGGGATAGTTATTCTCCAACTTTTAATATGACCTTGGAAAATGTAAGTTACAATGAAAACCTGATTGAACCACCCTAGAGACGATAGGCGTTCATTAAAAAATAATCATTCTTTGTAGTGCCTTGCCATGAGGAACCTTAGTGATGGACAATGGAACCATTCCGCTTAGTGGAACAAACCCCCACCTTGTCACAAAGACCATTTAAATTCTCAATGTGAGGCTACAGGCTGATACAGAAGATGAGAGAGAAGGTAAAATGCAATATGAATTCTTTTTTTTTTGGTTCTATTTCATGGTCTTTAACCAGTAACAGACAGATCTTCAAGAGTATTCTGCACATTTTGAAGTACATGAGCGTGATAAAAAATCTGGTTATGGATTTCAAAGGCTAGCTCAGCTTGTTGGATGCATTGTATTGACTTGAGATCAAGTAAAAAATCAAGCTCGTATATTAAATGAGCAAATATTTCATTCTGACTAATCAGTATTGTTTTACAAACATTAAAAAAACTTGCTAAAGCCTTGTCATTCATTATTATCATTAAAAATATTGGTATTATTTCTTTGGAATAATTACAAAATAGCAATTATTCATAAGATAAATGGGTAGGATTAAAAATAAGCACATACGAAGCTATTCATCAATTAAATAAATCAGCCTATTCCAAAAAGCTCCATGAAAAGATACCTTAGAGATTTTGTTAATGTCAAGGCACTAATTATAACAGGAACATTCATTGTTTGGACACAGTGGGAAGGAAATCTTAGAAGTATTGTCCAAATAAGACCGAAGGCTTATTTTCTTTTTAAAATACCAGGAAAACAGTGTGCACATCAAGACAGAGTGATTTTTTTATTCTTATTTTTTAATTTTCATATATCTGTGTGATAAGTCAGATTATGCTGTGTAAAAGCATAAAAACATGGGATGAAATGCCAACCCTCCTGAAAGAAATAACCCCCGGGTCTTTAAGTCCTGCATTTTGTGGCTCTGTTTGGGCTATTTCTTATGTAAAGATTTAGGACCATGAGCCCTGTGCAACCTTAGGGCAGAATGCCCCTGTTCCCAAGGCTTTGTCTGTTGGTTTCCATCCTCTACCTGTTTCTTGGAGCCTGCCTTGGTGCACCGCCAATAAACTCCCACAGACCAAGCACCTTCTGAGCAATCTCTAATAGAGTTATATATTCATATAGAAAGGAAAACCTGCTTGCTTAGCTGAGCAAACGTAAGGCTAAGCTGGGAAGTCAAAGAGAGATTACTTTTCTTTGTCAGGTTATCCTCATTATCATTTCAGGGTTAGTAAATTATAAATATCTACCCATTAGTAGTGAAAAAAAAATAGTACCTTAAGTGTGGCTTCTTTTCCTTCTGTTTGCTTGCTATTATTTTATTATTTTTACTTCTGGAGACTCTGTGTTTTCAAAGGGAAAATGTGTTCCCTGTTCATGTAACTTTACAGAGCAGGATCTCTATTGCTACATCTCTGCTGCAGCACACTGTGTTTGAAGAGCTTTGTATGCACTCTGCAGCATGTAGAACCTCCAGGAGTACTTAAGCCCTGAACCCGTTGCTTCCCCTCTCCACTGCCCAGCTCAGTTTTTGTGGGAAGAAAAGGTGGTTGCTTGGCTGAGCAGGCCTGATGAGCAAGGATGTGAGAAGAGCTGCCAAGCTTCACCTCCCTGTGGAGGGAGCTTCACTTCCCCCACTTCAGCAAAGTGTCTTCTGTGAAATTCATGTCTGAACAGGGATGCAAATAGAGAAGCTGGTCTGCTGGTTTGTGCAAGCTTTGTTTGACCAAAAAACAAAAGGGATTGAGAGAAAAATAGCTTTTTGCTGCCTCGGCCCTAATGCAGACCAGAGTCCAGACCCGTCCCTAGCTTGGGATGGAAGCAGGGCTTGTGAGGTCTGCTCCAGCGTGTGTTAGGCTGCACCTAATTTGCAGGGAGACACAGGTTGTCCATGGTCTTGGGTGTTTGCCTCATTTGGCTCAGCCTCATTCTTTTTGGTGAGGCTGAGAGGCATTAAGAAAGAGATATTTTGAGGTCTGAGGTGATCTGGAGCAGAGCCAACGCATTTGGCCTTTGCAGTGAGAAAATCCTTTGGTTCACAATGGTAAAGTAGGAAATTTTTTTGCATCTTAAGCTTGATGATATTGGCTTAAAGTGCGTAGCTGGTAGTAGGCTGTTGTTGTTTTCCCTAAATATGATACCCATTTTTATGTTACAGATTTTTATAAAGAAATACATTTATTTTTATTTAAAGAACTGTATGTAGCTTAGTTGATATGTGATAATTCAATTAACTGGAAAGGCATCAAGTGAAAAATTGTCTTATATGAAGAAAAGAGATGAAATAATACGGGAAGGAGAGCCTGATTCTTTGATTCTGGAGTTACAAAATTTATCCTAAGAATATCTCTTTCAGAATAGATAAAAGCAGGCTTAAGGCTGGATGCATTTCAGGTCAAGGGGCAAATCAATCATATGGCCTCATGGACAGGCCATATTTATCCACATGTATTTCATAAGACACCTAAATTCACAGCTATGTAATCAAGAACTTTGAGTACTGAAAAAAAATAGTAAAGCTTCTGTATCTTGTATTTGCTTACTTTA